ATCTAATAACCTCCAATGGTGTTATGCAGTGTGATAGGTTATTTCCAGGGATGATGGGAGCGTTACCGTGGGAACGGATGTGTCGGTTGAGGTTGCTGCTGTTCTGAAACACCTTACAGCAGAGACAGCACTGGTAAACTCTTTTATGATCTCCACCCTGCCGCAGAGATCGCCGCCTTATACCGGTTCTGACAGAAGAACAGGATCAAGAGTTGTTCCAGTGAGATTACACTACTGTTCAAAAGTTTGGGGTCAGTGAGATTTTATCATGTTTTTGAAAGAAGTTTCTTACGCATTTAATTTTAGCAAAAATACAGTAAAAAAAATTGTTATTGCATATGTAATATTATTACAATTGAAATTCCTGTTTTCTATTTTATATATTTTAAAATGTTATTTATTTCTTAAAGCTGAATTTTCAGCATCATTAAAACATTAAATCAATAAACAATTCTCATAATATCTGCCTAATATTTTTGAGGAAATATGATACATTTTTTAGGACTCTTTAATGAATGTAAAGTTATTAGGGCTGTCAAACGATTAATTGCATCCAAAATAAAAGTTTGTGTTTACATAATATATGTGTGTGCACTGTGGATATAATTATTATGTATATATATATATATATATATATATAAATATGTATATATATATACACACACATGCTTGTATATATTTAAGAAATATTTTCATGTATATAGATTTATATCTAATTTATATTATATATAAATATTTTATATATAAATAATATTTTTTTTCATAAATATACATGCATGTGTGTGTATTTATACATATACAAAATAATTATACACAGTGCACCCACATATATTCTGTAAACACAAACTTTTATTTTGGATGAAATTAATCGGATGTGATTAAATATATATATTATTTAAAGAAGAAATCTTTTGTGACATTATAAATGTCTTCACTGTCACTTTTGGTCAATTTAATGCATCTTTCCTGAACAGAAGTCTTTCTTTCTTCCTTTCTTTCTTTCAAGTAGTTTATATGTTTTAAAACCCAGAGGATGTGACATAAGTGAATAGTTAAGGTTGTCCTTACTTCCCAGAGGAGATGGGGGAGCGTGTCACCCGAGATGTTTTGAGTGGCGGGCCGTCTCCAGCCACCATGACCTCTTGAACATCCAGTACAGTAAGGGGAACATCAGGAGCCAAAGTACTGAGAGGCGGCTCACCAGATGCAGGAACATTGGATTCTGCTAAATGGGAAAGCATTTTTAAACAATTTCTGTTACTTCTCTGCAAAATGTGCTTTAAAAAACCTCTTTACTGAACAAACCCCCTTATACCCCCACCTCACCTTGACCGGAATGAGCCGATCCACTCGGCGCAAGTTTCTGTGCTTTTGTCCGTCGCGGTCTGCCTTGTTTTCGGGTTGGCTCTGGTGGGGCGGGAGCAACGCTGGCCGTGTTGTTTTGGGGTAGCGCCTCCGCAAGCTGCTGGACAGGTGCGTCTGCTGGGGTTTGGCAGAGCAGTTGCTCTGAGACAGGAAGGGTTTCTGTCGGTGGCCCCTTCACCGGAGGGACTCCAGGTTTGCTGGACATCATTTCTGAAGGGGCAAAATGATCAATTACGTCCAGCATATGCGTACTCCACACTGCACAGATACTGCACTTTAAAGCATGCATACCTGTTGGAGGTGGAAGTACAGGTGACCTAAGAACAAGCCGATCCATTTTTTTGGCATAAAATGCTCCATACCAGACTCTCAATTCTGTTCCGGGCAGAACATCCTGAAATGGAGGAAATGAAAGAACAATTCGATTAAATTGGCATTTTAAGTTTAAAGGGATAGTTCACTTTGAAATTAATTTTTGGTATGTTTTATCTTACCTCAAGGGCATCCAAGATGCAGGTGTCTTTGTTTCTGCAGTAGTTTCAATTTTGATATTTTTAGGTCAAACCGTTCGTGTCTATCAGTCATATAATGGAGGTCTATGGTCACCACCTCAAAGAGCATGCACAAGAGGTAAAAACGATATAAATACTGTTCGTTTTCTCACACAAACTGCTGGTTTCGTGTCTTAGGCCATCAATGTGTACTTACATTTATATAATCATTAAATCATGTTTAATTTGGACTTCTCTGTGCATACTCTTTGAGGTGGTGACCATAGACCTCCATTATATGACTGACAGACAAGAACGGTTTGACCTAAAAATAACAAAATTAAAACTACTGCGGAAACAAAGACACATACATCTTGGATGCCCTTGAGGTAAGCTAAAACATACCAAAAATTAATTTCAAAGTCAACTATCCCTTTAATATAACACCACAATTTGAATAAATTTTATTTTACAATCTAAGCCATGCATTATTTGATAGCATAACTATCTTCACTATTTAACCACAGAAGTGACAGTACGGCATCAATGCACCTGTGATGTATTGAAGTAAACATCATCATCTTGCTGGTAGGCCGTCAGATTTTGGTGTTTGTGGTCTGTGGCAGGCCGAACCAACATCATCCAGTTACAGTCGTCTTCATTGGACGAGTCAAAACACACCACTGATCCGTCCTTCTGAAATATCTAAGATACACAATAGAAAAAAACATTAAGCATAGGTCATATGGTTAGCAGTGGCATATTAATGGTCTATTCTTTACCTTTAAAGGAAATGCGCCCTCAGTTTGAAGGCTTGGAACCCTCTTGGCCTCAAAAGGGCCAAATCGAGTCCTTTTAACCAGCCGTCTAAGCACAAAGACCCCTTCGTTCCCCTCCTCAGCTGACCTGATCTCCAAGCTGTCTGGTAAAGATGACCTGGAACATGGACAATAATTATGTTCTTAAGTTAAAATTTCATATGCAACCAAAAATTTGAATTTCTTATTGTTTTAAGAATTTCATAAGTAAGCTGTATTTCTATGAACAAAAATACAGTAATATAAAATGTGAATAGAAAATATTTAAATGTTTTTTGAGCTGCAAATAAGCATGTTAGAATGGTTCCTGAAGGATCATGTGACACTGAAGACTGCTTAAAATGTACCTTTGCCATCCCAGAAATAAAATTCCACTTAAAATATATTAAAAAAGAAAAGAAGGTCCTTAAAATGTGAACTATATTTATGATCAAATAATACATCCATGGTGATCATAAGAAAAAATATTTTCTCTTAAACAATCTTACTGAGATTGTCCAAACTTTTGAAGGATAGTGTACAGACTAAATTTATGATATTTCAAGTTGTAATATATGTAACAAAATTTTGGGAAACCCTGTCATATACTGTTATTGTCATAATACAATTCAGTGATAAATGTCACAAATGCATTAAGAAATTCAAGCACCTACCCATTAAAAGAAATACCAAGTCATAAAGTACATATATACTAAAAAATAAACATAAGACAGTCAATTTATGGCCTTTGAAAATCACACATGACCATCTAATTGTGGTCAGCATCCAAAAGGCATCCGTGTGTGCTCACCGTGCCCGACTTAAAACAAATGAGTCCTTCACCGTGACGACGGGCCCCAGCTCAGGACACTCAGAGTCATGGTACTGCCCGCAGTCCTCACACCCTGCAGGAAGAAGAGTCACATGCAATATTATGCCATGTACTAGAGTAAAACAAGGACACAGCAAAAAAGCTCACTAGTGGCAATAAGGATACAATAATGTTTCATGCATATTCATAAACAAGTAAGATTATAGGTGTGCACTTACAAATAAACTCATCTGGTGTCTGCTCTGCCATTCTGACACCCTAAAGATGATGCATCAAATATGTACATTAGTTTTAACAGGTGTAAAAGCATGCTGTACTTATGATACTTAATTACACACACACACACATAAATATTTATAAATATATAACACATCTGAGACCATTTCAAATTACATTTTAACATACGACATGTTTAAAACATGCAGGTTCTTAGAAATATAAACTTTGTTTTCATGTTGACTACATATACTGGAAAAATGTAAAACCATTTCCCACAAATATTATAATAATAATAATAATAATAATAAAATACGTCAAATAACGTATGCTATAACATTCCCCCCCCCAAAAAAATCTGCCTTTAAAATAAGGCTTTTTTGTATATATTTTTACCATTATATAAATGACATGAATTTTAAAAACGGTCATTTGGGATGAACTGGGTTTTTAATATATGTTTTATTTAACTTTATGAATCTGGAAAAAAACATTTAAATATGTATAAGGAGACAATTATTGGAAATAATACGTTAAGAAATGATAAGTCCTTAAGGTCTAAATGCAAAAACGTTTCAAAGCACTTTTCCATCATAACGTTGTGTTGATTGCATTGCTGTCAGTCAACAAAACCCATTACACAATGCAATTTTGTTGATGTTCCCAAGATCAACAATCACAACGCATGACGCTCGTTATCAACACAGTACAGGCAGCTGTCCGCGAATGAAACGCCCGTAAGCAGCCGGGGAAAGAGTACAATACGGACCGATGCGGACAGAATCCGTGATTTGGGAAGATTTCAAACTGTAGCCGGGTTTTAACTCCGATCTCAGGCTGAGCTCGCTCTCTTTCGGCAATGCAAATGTAACAAAGAACAATCGGCATGGCGGATGGAATGGAGACGCAGCGCTCATCTGGAGCTAGAGCGTTTGAAAGCGCAAAGCACAACAAACTCGCTTCGCTCACACTTTTCATTGCTGCTGCGCCTTTAAATGAGGACCGTTTGGGGATTTCGCTCAATGCGTTTGAATATAACTACCTCACAAGTTTAGCTTAAAGTCATTACCTGTTTTCCAAACGTCTACACATTTAGTGAATCCTGACTCCGGGTTCCAATCCGCTCCAGAAACCGCGCAGGACCGGAAATGAGACCCGCGAAGTGCATTGTGGGAAGTGTAGTTTTTCCTCAAACAGACCGCCGCAAGATTTTCATCAATATTCCAGCTGATTAATTAGATTATGCAGACACAAAATAACACGTCTGACTCAACAACAACAAATGAATGCAGAAACAAATCGATTTTCCAGTCAGTATTTACTGCTAAAACCAATCGATATGTTAATGAACATAACATTAGCACAGCCTTACATTCATTATGCAGGGTCGTTGTCACTTTTTATAACAGCTGTTCAGTTATAATGTCATTTTGTAGGATAACCAGAAAGCAAAATCAACCATTGGATTTGAAAAGTAACAAAAGCTCTGTTTAGCATTACTTGAAAAGACTTTTGCATTAAGCAACTCACATTACACAAACTCATACATCAAATGTGAAATTTAAAGATTTATTGATTTAACAGGGTTTCATAAACTAGCATACTTGTGATAGCTGCAGTCCTTATTCAACAATTTATGTTATAGAGCAAAACAAGTCTCTTCAAGTAATGGTAGACTTTATTTAATATCACAAATCACCATTCTTAAAAGCTGACAGAGATTTCCAGAGGGTTTTAGGACTACAAACGCAACAGCTTTATGAGTTCTTACTGCACAGGCCATGCAGATGTGTGATAATATTGCAGGTAAATGTGTTTTGGTGATAAACAGGTTCTCATGGATACAATTATCATTCACAATAGATATTCTGGTTAAGGAGTCCAACCATAATCCAACAGAAAGAGTTAAGTTAACAAGGAGTTCGCCTCTGGACAGCCAAGCAAGCATGACAAAAAATAAAATCTTCATTTGCCTCCAGTTTCAATAAAAATGACCTTTGTTTAATTTTATGACTGTTAAGATATACCACCATATGAAGTGTTAACAGCCTGTAAATGGCAACACACAACAGACAAAATGAAAAAAAAAAAAAAAAAAAAAAAAAACGAAATAGCTCACAGAACAGTAGTCCTCCCAAAATTCAGAGTTAACAGCCAGACTGCTGAAGTTTCCTTCTGGCAACATTCACTATGGACAGGCATTCAGGTTTCTTCTATATATGCAGTTTGAGTTCAAGTAAATGTCAAATGGAGCCTGTTATTGAATCCCCTCACCATAAATCCACTGCAGTCCCAGAATGCAAACTGGTGGCCGGCATTCACAACCAACATTTCAGGTGGCTTAAGATTTAAAAATCAAAGAAAACACCACTCTTGGGAAAATAACTGATGAATTGTGAACATATTGAATAGCTAAATTCAAGAGGCCAGAGCGCTTACATTCGGGTCTTTCTCAAACGGGAAAATGCCCTTGCTTAGTGTTAAAAACCTTTGGTACAATTCACACACACATCACAACTTGTGTGGCATTGTGGAATGACGAAAAAAAGAAAGGAAAAATCAATTATACAGAATATTGATAATGTATGCTTACAAAGAAATTTTTTTAAATAAAATAACCCTTATTATCTATTTTGTTGATATTTTCCCACCTCTGCTTAAGAATCAGAAGTTAAAAGATGAACAGAAAACCAAACCAGTCATAAAGCAAACATATCAGTGCCAACCCAGAACATTTTAAATGTTATGCTCTGTTAAATGTTTCACTTAACAAATTTGGGACGATAAAACTCACTATTCCCAGAGACAATTAGACTTAAACTGCAGGTTAGTATCCCTAACAAAATAAAAACTCCTATATTCAATTCACATAAAGGCAGAGATCTTTCACATGATTTTGAACAAATCCAGAGCATGTTCACAACCAAACCCCCCAGAATTCACTGCAAATCCATTTGGAATGAGTTCTGAGCATAAAAAAAAGTGCAAATCAAACTGATGGTTTTCCCTTAGTCAGATAGTCCAGGTTCCATCATGTCACCAGAGGGATAAAGCTTAGGTAAATAGCAAGAAAAGGTTATCAAATCCCACTTTGGTTAAAAGGCCACAAACACACAGCATCTTTTGCATGATGATCACTGTTTGCATAAGGTTAAACGATTCTTTTGAGTCATTTGGAGCGACGAAGAGAGCCAGTGCTCATTTGGATGCTGCTCTGTAAACGTTCTTGCATAAACACACATTTCACAAGGAGAAAAAGAAAGTGTCAAGCCTCTGATGACCATTTACATGGATGAAGAGATCAAACTAGTGCCATGAAGACAGACTTCAGAAAGTAGATACCAACCAACGAAATTAGACACTTCTGAGAATGTGCATGATGTGTTGAGAGGGAGTTGATGAAACGGTGATTGTTGCAACGCAGAGGTTTTTGGCAAATACAGCCAAGAAACAAGAAATGACTTGCATAAGAGTTGAGAATGAATGTGAAAGAGGACGTTAGAAATAAAAAGTAAAAAAAAAATGAAGAGGTGCAAAAATTAGTCTCGATGAGGGCCTTCTCTAAAGCAATAGAGTTCACGTGGGCGGTTCTCTCGCTGTGCCATTGGCTTTGCTCTTGCTCTTGGGCAGAAGCTTGTGGTTGATAATGCGCCTGAAGGTGGCCGTCCTCTTTTCCCTGTCGCCCATCATGGCCGCCTCGGGATGCTCTAAGTACTGCAGATCATTGTGGGACTGGCTCATCCCTGGCTCCTTTCGCTGGTGTCGCCGTCTGAAGAATAGCTTGGCACTCTTGTGCAGGAAGCTGCCTACAGGGGGCGCCAAAGAGAGATGCAAATCATCAGCCAAGCTCACTAACATACTTCACTGATCCAATCTGGAAGTCAAACTCTGATCAACAGGAAGCTAAAACATAAAATTAGTAATTGGTTTTATTGACTACCATGAGGAAACAGTGGATTTGTGACGCAATGTGTGTGTCATTTTCAGCTCTGGAAGATGCTACTGCAATACACTGGCAGCATCAGATGGAAATTAGCTAAAAGAATACAAGCACACTACTAACAGAGTACGCAAACATGTTTATAAGTGCTTGGTTTTAGAATCAAAGCAGCCTAAACCAGTCCACACCAGCTTAGAAGTTCAGGAAGGTTGAACTTCTGAATTTTTATGCTGTTTGAGAAAGCTAACAGCTGAAACTCACACTTAGCCAACAAAGGTTCAATGGCACAAAACAAAAACAAAAAAAGGTGCCTCCAAAGATTTGAGCAGCCAAACAGCATGTCAAATCTTTCTCCATGTCTAAAATTCACAAATACAGGGTAATAACTTGTTTATTATCCCCATGGATTTTAAAACGCTGGGACATGGACTAGCTTTTTTAACTAAAAGCGTTTGTTAACAATTTCACAGGGAAGTCTACATAATTTTACTATTATAGACTTCTCAAGAGGTCACTTACTCTTCCAGCAATAAAGTCTGGTTAGCACAGGTTTCCACTTTAAGATAGCAAAGAAAAAAAAAGGTGATAAGGGAGAGGTACAGAGGACAAAAAAGAAAGTGAATGTCATCAAATGTGAGAAGTACAGCCAGAAAGACACTAGACAGTGCTGTAACATTCATATTAGACAAACAAAGGTGAGACAGAATTTAGTAGCTCTTTATTAACTGGCATGCCACTAACAAGACTTATAAGAAAATAAGAAAATATTCAGTCTTTTCTTGAAGGTTGTTTATATTAAGCAACTCAAGTGACGGAATAAATGGCTACTTTAATCTTTGGCTTAAATGGACGTTAGTTTAAGATTCAGATCAGCTTTTTAGAATAATAAATATTGTAGTTACAATTTCGTGGGGCAAAATACCACCAATCTACTTGATGCACACTACATACAATAGCACAGGCATAGTATAATCTGTCAAGACCCACCACAATATTTGAGATCAAAAAAACAATTCAATTACTGTAAGCTACAAAAGTTTGATTTGAAAGAAATTGAGATGACAGCGCATATGTGTATAATTAAAACACGGCCATTGCAAATTCGAAGTGATTTTTACTTAATGTCGGAATATTGTGCATCCCTAGACGAAATGCGTGTCATTCATTGATACATTTAGCTGTAGCCAGGGTGAATTTCTGTGACCCACCTTTTCCCACTCTGTGACCAGTTTGAAAACCCCTGCACTAGCATAAACGCTACTGTTAAATTTTTAAAGAAATTAATAAAAATGGAACTTTTGTTCCAGCAAGCATGCATTAAATTGTCTAAAAGTGACATTTAAGGGATTTATGTTACAAAAGAAATCTTGTTCTAATTAAATTCTGTTCTTTTGAACTTTCTGTTAAACAAAAAATCCTGAAAAGAAATGCATCAGCGTGGTCATATAGAGACAAAAAAATCCTAATGACTCTCAAATGTTTGAATGCATGCCATTGACCTCGTGTTTCACATGCAGACCTGTGATCAGATTTATGACTCTGGTTAAGCACTTTATGTAGTTTGAAGGTGTGTAAACTGGTTAAATAGAAACCCAAAACCCAGCTCAGCATAATTCTGATTGTTGTTCTTCACTACACAAAACTCAAAGTCCATTCCCTTTCCACTCACCTTTTCCTTTTTTGGAACCCGTTTCAGAGGTACAGAGGGACAGAGAGGACTTATCCGCGTCTGGGTCCTCTCCAGCCTGACTCTCCCAGTCCTCCACATGATCTGTGCCATTCGCACCCACCAGAGACTCAATGGGTTCGAGACAGCTGGGTTCTGCCACTGTTTCCGAGGGTAATGCTGCTGATTCGCTGCTGGTGCCGTCAGATGCTCCGGACATAGAAGCGTCCATCGCAGCCGCATATCCTGCCATCAAAGTCATCTCCTCATCCTGTGTTAGAGGGGCCTAGAGAGAAGGTTAATAGCAAAGCTTCAATTAGAAACTGACACGATGTAACGTGACCAGGGCAAGGTATCACTAACTATTTGTTGATGCAGCACAAAAAGATTAATTTTGTCCGATACTGACAATTTTGTACTCTTTTGTAAAAAAAAATATTAAAATCAAAATCAGTTGATTTAAATGCAATTTAAATAGCATTATATTGTAAAAAAAAAACCTAAAAAGATTGATAGACGTCCCAAATATGACAAACTACAAATATTAGGAAATGCTTGCTGTGTTTTGTGTGGATTCATGGGCTGATAATCTTGATCTAGCATTAGAAGGTTTCCAATTTTCATACACGTATTGACAACAGAACCAGAAGACAATACAATGCTGAATAAAGTCGTAGTTTTTAAAATAAATCTAAATATGCATATATGTGGGCAAGTACCTTGGTTACTCCTGAGATGATGATGGTGCTCTTTTTGACAGGAGATTTGAGCTTCTGTTTTGCCGACTCATGGAGCTGTCTAATGGCAGCCTCGGCTACAGGGTCGGTCCCATTTAGCATCAATAACTCTAGAAAGAAAGAGAGAAAAAGAGTGTACACAAATGCTGAATGTGACCTATTACTAATGTGTATTTTGCATTCATGATTGGTCTGGGATTGCGGTGCAGAAATAAAAGGAAATACGTATGCCACTGAAGTCAACAAGTTTGGAAATCTCACCTGTATCCGATGATGACAGGGCTTTGCTAACTTTGGCTCCGAGTATTGACCGCTGCTCTGACACCCTTCTCTCCACCAGCTTATTTCGAGAGGGTGATTTGGATTCTGTAAGAGGGATTTTTAAAAACACGAAAATCATATTAGAGATTTTGATTTGGTGGTTTAGGAGATTGACATAACGATTGTAGCACTTTCATATTTAACCAAATAAAACCCCCACTATTTTGCCTAACACAAAAATGTACAACTAAATCAAAGGTCAAATGAAAGGTACCAGGTTGCAAAGGTCGTCCTGGTTTACTCCTCACAGCAGTGACAGTGGTGACAACGGTGCCACAGGGCATCACAGTGCGGTCCATCTCCACTCTCTTAGTAGGGGCCGGCGTGGGCGTCTGCCAGCTCCGCACCTCGCTGGGCTCCAGGTAGGTGAACTACACCGAGAGCATGAAGAGATAACGTCAGGTTTCATTCATTCAGGTTGGTAAACAAATATTCATTATGGCATAATTCATTTTCCAAAGGAAACAACAGAAAACGGAACGAAATTATAGTTTAGGCTTTCTGCATATTAAGCTTGGGCATTTTAATTAATTTCTATGAGAATTAGATCTAAAATTGACATCGAGTTAGTCTCAATATGATGTTGATGATATTTGATATACATTTACCTCAGTAGTTAGTGATCCAGTCACATGATCATTGTTCATGAGTGAAAAAGTCTGTTGACCTTTGGGGTGTTTCTTCACTAGATTAAAAGGCACAGATACCTGACCTAACAAACCACCTGGGAGGAGAACAGAGAGCGATGCCTGATCAAATCAAATAAATGCTCATTATTTAATCAATGCGTTCGCCTAGGAAGACAAAAGTGACACTGAATAAACATACAAAGATTTCACACAAGCGCATCTGGCCTGTTAGAAATCAGGGTGAAAGGCCAAAGTCAAATCATAATATTACTACAGTCTCCTTCTATTAGCTCAATAAATGCACCACTTTCACCTCATTTTGAGGATATTTCATGATTTAGAGAAACAGATGACAGAGAGTAGATTAAAATTCAGATGACCTTCAAGCTTTTGCAGACCCAGATTAATGGATATCACTTTTCTGTTTTTATTCCGTTAAGCTGGTTTATTTTCGGTCATGTGGACTTACTCTCCTGAGGTTTGCCGTTATCCACGACCTGGATGTTCAGCTCCTTTGATCGGCCGCTAAGCTCACTGCAAAACCATACAGAGACGGGAGATAATATAAATCATACGGCATTCCCATCTAAAAACATTGAAAGATGCCCCAAAAATACCGATCGTTTAATTATTCAGCCTGATTCACGTTAGTTGCACCTTTCACATTTCAGCCTGATTCACTGATTATTTCCCTTTCATGTCGCCGCCGCATCCTCTCTCAGTAATTTCCTGTCCTATCTCTATTGTACTTTTCTATAACAATGGCAAAAGGTTCAAACTGATTTGGGTATAAATGAAGCTGAACTCACAATATGAAGGGCTGATCCCAGGCCAGGTTGGATGTGTTAGTCAAGACTGAACTGGTGACCTTCTGAGGAGGATCATCCAACCGGAGGATACACTGGGGATTCATGCCGCCTGGAAGCAGAACAGAAACCGTTTTAAATCTTCAATCACAAGGAACATCACATTTCCAAAATTAGACTCATTTGCTAATGTACCCCATTCAAATAAAACCAGATTTTTGTGCCAAAAGACAAAGGAAGAGATCTAGTACTGTTTGAGCTAAATGACTGACTAATGCAGAGAACACTCTTTGCCAAAATGAATTAGGCATAAAACGGATGAGCTGCCAGTTGTCTCCGTTAAGTGCATGGCTAGGCTGTAATAGTGACTTGGCTGGAGAGCAGCAGGACAATTAGACCACTTCCGAAAATGATTTCCGAACAGAAGGGACACCCTGATTGAGGGAAACAGAGGCAGTTCACTCAAGAAATCATGTGGGCGGTGCTTTTTGGGAAGTGTTGCCTGCACTTTGTGCCCACAACAAAATTCCATCTAAATTATTGGCTTTATTTCTTCGATCCAAGCAATATTAAAACATTAGATGAGGTCTGTGGTATGCATGAGGTCCGTCTAATATATAACGAGACCAATGGGATTTACATAACAAAAGGATGTACATTTTTGTGAATCATATGACCATATATCAAGAAATGGCCCATCATAAACAGCTACCTGTGATTAAGAGAGGCACATAATAATAATTAAAAAAAGTGATACTAAATTGTTTTTTTAAAAATCTGTTGCATTTTATTGAATTTTGTATAAATCTGCATACATTAGTTGGCTAAATATTAAACAACTGAAAGGACATGACATGCATTCTTCATTAATATGTGTGTGCGATGCACTAGTCTTTTGGTCACAGACCTGCAGCACCATTCTCCTGTTTACATGTGACCCGGATGTTCTTCACTAATAGTTTCCATTCGTGCGCTCGCGGGGGCTTTGGGGGTGAGGTCACCTCCAAGGTCTTGTTCCTTACTTCCTGTTGAAGAGGACAAAGGAAATAAAACATTATCACTCATAATATCAACAGCAACATCCTTTTCGGTGTTTTTCTCTCCATTCTGTGAAAATTCCAAAGTTATGTAATTCTATGAATATTATGACATTTATCAGATCATATATACAAGGCCTTAAAGGGATAGTTCACTAAACATTTATATTCTGTCATCATTTACTCATCCTCAAGTTGTTCCAAACCTGTATGAATTTCTTTCTTCTGCTGAAAACCAAATATCGCATTTTGAAGAACATAAACAAACAATTGATGTGACCCAGTGACTTTATTAGTATGGAAAAAAATGTTTTCTTCAATATATCTTTTGCTTTCAGCAGAAGAAAGAAATTCATACAGGTTTGGAACAATTTGATGATAAGTAAATAAAGACTATCCCTTTAACTAATCCCTTTTTGAACTATCCCTTTAAGACAAACATAATAGGGTTTAAAACTCTTTTGTGGTTGAATTTGAAATGATGTAGAGTGGATTAAGAGCTAATGATGATACGATAAACACTTAATGACATTTGCGCAGGGTTCTACCTGGACTTCTGCAGACTCTGCAGGTCGGCTGCTCAGCGTTACTAATGCTTCAGCTCCATTCAAGACCTGCCTGAGCCTGTCGCTCACAGCCGCTTCACTTAGACTCTCATAATCTCCCTGAAACACACACAGAGTCATGCCATGTGCTTTCCGAACAAAAAAAAAATAAGCAGAAGTTATCCCTTAAAACTACTGAGATTTACAAATGAAAAACAGACAATGAGAACCGTGCTTAATCATGATCTTTTCTTTCTCGAGTGGTTTGATGAGTGAATATACCTGCGCAAAACCTGGCGTCAGCTGCAAATCTACAGAGTCCAGGTCAAGCACCCTCCAGGAAATCTCCACCTCCCTGTTCACCTCTTTCATCTGTAGGGCCAGCTGGGACAACAATAGACACACAAACATTACTTAACCACAGACACTAAACAAGGGCTGATTTGAGCAATAAGTCATGCGACAAAATTGTAAAGCCTAAACCCTCTTTAAACATGGTTTAATATAAGGTCCCAATTGTTTTGGTGCTTTGAAAAGCACACAAAAAAGAAAACATAGTTAAAATTAAAATGTCAACCATCATGTACAACAATGTACAGCTATTTAGTTGTTTACTTATTTTTATTATTAGGATTTTTTGGCATTTATTTTTGCATTAAATTATGAGCATACATGTTACAAGAGGTAAAAACTATATAAATACTGTTCGTTTTCTCACACAAACCGTTCGTTTCGTGTCTTAGGCCATCACTGTGTACTTACATTTATGAGTCATTAAATCATGTTTAATTTGGACTTCTCTGTGCATGCTCTTTGAGGTGGTGACCATAGACCTCCATTATATGATTGATAGACAAGAACGGTTTGACCTAAAAATATCAAAATTAAAACTACTGCGGAAACAAAGACACCTACATCTTGGATGGCCTTGAGGTAAGCTAAAACATACCAAAAATTAATTTCAAAGTGAACTATACAAAAAAAAAAATCTCTTCAACATGGCTATTTACCATTGTCAACTTGCCACATACAGAATCAGACTACTGTGCACTCACAAGTATGTGTATGAATATTATTGATTTAAGAAAAATGCTGCTAGAAAAACCAACTGAAATAAACAAATGACCAAATAACAGCTATAAATTAAACAATACATGCTTCTGCTTCAATTCAGCAAGGCAGAAACACACAGCGACCTACAACAAAATAACCTCACACTGCCTACTTCAAACTCACAATAAACAAAGGGTCCAGAGCATTCTCATATTCACAACAGCGCATTGAGCCGCAGGGCCCACAGTACATGGGGAGGAATGGGCTGTCATGTCCAAGCACGACTGCTTTACATTTCTGGAGAATGAACTTGGATGAAACGAGGAGGAAAAAAAATGACAGCGCGCCAAATTCCTTTGCAGTGCCCTCCAGTTCAAACCCATATCACATAATAATAGTCTGAAGAGACAGCAAATTCTACCCAGTATTAGCTTACAGTGAGATTTCTATAATCAGGAAAAGCTTCAATCGATCTACTTCAATCTTAGCCTGAAAATATATTTGCTTACAGTGCTTGTAACCTTGCCAAGAGTTGGACCGCATGGAGTTCAAATAAATGGGTTATTCCACAACCTTGTATACGGCTGTGGGGTCTAGAGTGCAATGACCCCTCCTAGATTAGAAACAAAAGCCCTAAATATTCAGCCTACAAAGCCATTCTAACAAGAGCTGGGAGCTTTCCAGTAACCGGCCTTGACCAGCAGGGGAAACAGAAAATATGCAATAGCCATACTGTATGGATTCCTCCAGAAAGAGGCTGAAATGGCATACAGAAAATAAACGCAAACACTCCTAAACATGCAAGCATTCTGTATGTACATTTGGCACATGCCTGTTCTATTTACAATCTAGCACTTGGCCTAATCCTCTTAAACAAAAAATGCCTACTACTACAGAATAGCATAGATCCGGGGCATATTGTGGAGACATGAGGAAAATTAAAGATTTCACAACATGTTAAATGTTCAGCCCTCAATGCACAAAGCTAAAACGGGATCAGCAGAACAATGAGTCGTCGAGTAACTTACTGGTTTAAAAATAGCTGTAATTCAATTGAGCAAAGCCGGTGTGAGCTCTTAAACACAATGTATTGTCAACTACTGCAGGACAGCAGTTCTGCACACTGAAATTGTGATATGCAGTTTTCTTTTTGCTGCTATTTGTACTGCAATATTAAAATAACACTGTTCAAGATGTACAAGCTTATCCATGAATAATTCTGGGCAGGATGTCCTAGTGCAAGTGCACGTGCTCTTTCCTGAGGCAGAGTTAACGGTGATTAAAATAAAGGCAGGACACTGAGCCGGTGCTCGCGAACGAGGCACTTAATCTGATTCCCGTGGGGAATAAAATGGAAGAATGAGTCACTCCCTATAAATCAAAAGCATGCAGGATGGTGAATGAGGCGTTACATCTATCATGAGAAAATGGGACGTCCCATTCAAGGGCAAATGTGTTTATTCCTCACTCCATTTAAGCGTAATAGGACTGTGCACAAACAGAGCAGTGTTGTAAGGGTTAACTAAAACTATTAAAAACTACAAAAGAAGATATGCACACAAAAAATATGCTAAAAAGCTAACGTGAATTTATTGTCCAGAGGCCACAAATAAAGTGCAACAATTTTTTTTTGCACTTTTGACTTTATAAAAAAATTAAAAATAAAAGTTTTTTTTCACATTTTTAATAAAATTATTAAAAAAATTAAAAATAAAGATAAAATAAATATTAGATGAAAAACTTAAATGAAAATTAGAAGCATTTACTAAATTATATAAATAAGTTAAAGTTGATACTAAAACTGAAATAAAAATAACAATTAATAAAAATTACAAGAGCACATAACAAAACAGAAAATAAAATATTTTCAAATATTTTTTATTAAATATCTTTCAAAATATTAATAAAATACAATAGAAGGTTAAAGTCTGATAATACTAATTGAAACATTGTTTTTTGCGCATTACTTTAATTCTACACAATTTTTTTTGTATATCCAAGTAAAAATGGAAGAAAATCTGAGCTTTTGTATAAAGAGTTCACATGATTAGTGACATAGAAACCAAATTTACTATTCATTTTACATCATAACAACACTTCTTTCAAGGTTTCAAAATATAAAACTTTACTTGCTTTAGAATATAATATATTTATAAGACTCATTTACTCAATATTTCCTACACTCAAACTGAATGTACAGTTCAAGTAAGCATAGAGTTGATTTATCCCCATGTGATTAAAATAACTATTTACTTTGATGACAAAACACGTGACGGACTTTCCTAGAAGCACACAGAATGAGACGTTTGTCTGCTCCATAGGAATGTTTAAAAAAAAAAACTGGTTCATCCTCCAAACCAAATGCTAATATCTCTGGAAGCATTTAAAGAATGACTGTCTTGTTTGACAATTTGTTATACAGACACCAAAGCCTGATGTTTACTCAACCATCCCCAAGTGACTTTAAAGAGCAGAATAAACACTCGTTTTTACCTGCAGGCGAAGTGGAGATATTTTCACACTGTATCTCAGGGGTGTTTCTGAAGATGCTGAGCTCGGTAAAGCACTGACAGAAAACTGCAGTCTGTTCCCAACCACCTGACACAGGACATCCTGCAAAAAGAAACCAACTATGACTTAAGCTAGGTGGAAACTTTAAATATTCTAACATTTTAACAGTGCTAATAACTTTTCTGAATCAACAAACAGCGGTGCATTTCAAAAGGAGAAGTCTTTTATGATACTCATATCCCTATTTTGATTCAACACCTAAATACAGGCAAGTAGGGTCATCCACAATAAAGGTTAGTGTATATACTTTATTGTCCCCAGGGGGAAATTCTTTTCCACAGCATTGCAATTGTTTAACACACACAACATAACAAATACAATACAACATAATACAGAAAAAACGAAAAAGAAAAAACAGTTAAATAACACTCAGTGATGTCTGATGGCTGAGGGAATCAGGCTTCAAAACATCCAAAGCATGCATGCCCTCATTGCCCTTACCTTTTGACCGGGTGTTTTTATAAAGCTTGAAATCTGGTCCACGACCAGTTCTGATGACTGGACACCATCATCTTCAAAGGTCAGCTGAATCCCGCTCTAATAAGAGGAACAAAATACCAAAAGCAATAATACAATCAGCAAAAAAAGACCACAACAATCTCTCTCTCTCTCTTTTTAGGAAGACTAACAAATATACACACACACAAACAAACCTGTGATCTACGAGCTTCCTCATTAAGGCCCCTTAACCAGGCTTTTCTCCACTGACTCTTCCAGCTTTTCAGAGACAGCACCCAGCATAAAATCCCATCAGCTTCCTCTGAATCCACATGACCGAGATGTGTTTTCCCAACGGGGGGTTCGTTGGAAAAATACAGCACCAAGTATATAATCAAAGTGACAACAGAGGCCAGAAAGAGAGTGACCATGCAGAGCCACTGCCAGTCACCCATCCCGGAGACAACAACCTCCATGGAGGACATGATCACCGAGCCATTCTCTTAAACCCTTAACATGTTTACTCTCTTCTCCTCACCCTTCCGCATCCCATCACAATAACGAAACTTTCCTTAGAATAACTGACTAATAAAACACTTTCGCAAAACAGCAAAAAAGAAAGTTCACGAACGGAGGGTGGGTGGAAACACGAGACCGGTGGATTGAGGCTCGTAAAACAAAACATACAGAACAAAATACAATTATTAAATGTGATATAATATTAGAGCATCTGTACAACTACTTACACACTAACGTTAAGTAACATTTTTAACATATGTTAGTCACAGTAAACCGATTGTGAATTAATCTGCGAGATGTTATCGGTCACATACACAATTTAGTTATTAAATTACAGGTTTAAAAAAATATTATAAATATTATACATTAAAGACATCGGTTGGGCTATCATTGGCTATTTGAAGACATCTCAAAATAATGAAATTATTATAGATCCGGAGTAGGCTACTCGACGTGAAAAAAAGTTCCTGAAAATCCCCCCGGTGTTGATGAGCCACGTTACCATCACATTAGCCGAGCAGAAACCAAAACAAAAAAAGATTTAAAAAGTGAAATTAAGTGCAGTCCTCATCTTCTATGACTGGGTTTTTCATCCTTCTGTGTGTTTAGGAAGAGAGATAGAAAGAGAGAGGATGTGTGTAACACACACCTCTGATTTCAAGGATTATTAGCTTTGCGTTGAGGTTCAGGACACAGCGCCGTCACCATACCAGACAAAATAAAAGTCCCTACCCGCAGTTTTCAAAATAATTCAAATATAATAAAATAATAATTGCCTTAAATAAATATATTGACAAAAATATATAAATCTATAAGTAAGAATAGTTTTCTTTATATCATCATATGGGGAATTTATGCCAGCAGAACATTTTTGAACAATATAGGCGTTTCTTTGTTTATGGTTTTTTTTTTTCCTGTGTGGGGTTAAATTGAATTATTTACATATGTCCTAACCATAATTTCCCTATGTAGCATATAAAACAATTAACCTATTTTGGCTATTTTTAATCATATTTTTGATAATTATGAGTTATAATTAAGTTAATGTGTTATAATTTAGGGGGAAAATCTCATTATTATGAAAAATTTAATCATCATAATGACTTACAGAGACATTTATTTACTCTCGGCTGTGTCGGGAATCGATACTTATACAGTATATGGTACAGTTTTGTTATTTCTGAGGTAAATAAGGTTTAAAAAGCATTGTTCATTACTAACATTAAACAAACTGCAATTATTTTGATTTGTTATTATTTCGTATTTTGATCTGATAATTTCTTATCAATTACAGAACAAGCAATCGATAGACAACGTTCAATTTAAATAAATTTTGACAAACGTCACAAACAAACCTATTATAACAATTCTCATTGCAACATATTTGCGCGGAGGGAGAAAGCAAAAGGAGAAATAGTGCGTGTCACTCACAATGTTTTGCTAACAAATTGGATTCTCACTTTAAAGTTTATAAAGTCTATTTATGAAATCTAAACAAAACATAAAATCACTATTTGAAATACTTCGAATCAATTCTATGAAATAAAACATATGAAATGTCGAGCTTTCAAGATTCATCCAATAGTATCCATCCGCCGTTTCCCAGCGCGTGAACGTTTCAGATGAGAATATTGAAGTAACGTACTTTTTTCAGAAGTCATTTTACATGAGCGAAAATCAACTAAACTCTTCCTGAACCGGTAAATTATTGTACGATAAATATGAATATTCAGATTACATGAGCTTTGTCTAATTTTGTCTAGCATAGATGTACGTTGATTAACGTACATTTAAACGTTACGTTTGAGTAATAACTGAAGTCAGTAAGGAGAATGTCGCTGGTTTGTTCTCGTTTAACAGTTTATTTTTATTTTACTTTCTTACTGTAACTGTAATTAGTAAGTAAACAATGTTAAGCAAACGTGTTCTCGTTAGGTTAACGTTAGGTTTCTATGCTAAAACTATTCAACCTAGTAATTTAGGCCAAAATTATGGTTTACAGGTGAGGAAGAAGAAACCTCTGGAAAATTTTCTTGATCTATGGGACATCAGCATCATGACAGGGGTTCAGCCAATGCCCTGCCCGGTGCTCCTGGGCACTGTGAAAAGTGGAGGTTTACCAGCCCTCCTACACAGATACACAATTGAGAAAAAAGTAGCAAAAGTGGAGAAAGTACTAAAAAAAGGTTTAAATACATCTCAGAGGCATTTCAAATGATTTCTTACGTTGTATGCGTCTCATTAATGCTTTTTGTATGCCACCTTCCATAGGAGTGGGAGTTGACAGCATTAACCACCTTGGACAGACACCACTCTTTTGCGCGTCTCTCCTCGGCTTCGTCAGTGTAGCAGAGAAACTTCTGCAGTATGGAGCAAACCCAAATCAGTAAGGCCAGACCTTCCCGTAATCATCCATGGAGATTGTGTGAATATGAAAAATAGCATGCTATCTCATGTGTGATGCTTATGTCCACCAGCCGCTGTAATGATGAAAGTACCCCCATCCATGCTGCAGTTTTCTCTTGTAATCCCTGGCTCCTGAGTTCTCTGCTGGATGCTGGCGGGGACCTGCGTCTCCATGATGATCAGGGCCGGACTCCGAAGGACTGGGCCGTGGCAGGTGCTCAGGAGAACAGCCCCAAGGTCTGTGCTTGCTTGGTTCCGTATAGATAAAATGACATGAGTATTTCATAATATAATAGATTATTTTAGATGTTTTATTTACAGTTTTATACTGTCAACATTTTCATAGATGCACCTTATTGTTCTGTATTTGCTGCTTCAGATGCAGCTTCTGCAGTGTAAATATGCCATTTGACTAATTGGTCTTCCTTATCTACAGATGCTTGCTTTTCTGAAGAGATGCGAGTCTCAAATGCAAAGGTTGTTGCAGACGCATCTGTCCGGGGATGTGCGTTCCTCCCCTACCTCCTCAAAGACTCTCCTGAACTCTCCGTCCCTGCTCAAGCTCCTGCTCCCTTGGTAAGATCTGCAGTACTATTGATCGTTATCAGTGAACAATCTCTTTGTTATAGTATTTTATTCTTGAGAATGAGAAACAACACAGATGTAGGACAGCGATTTAATACTCAGATTGCACATCAAATGGAAACTCTACTGTACAAGTGTTTTTAAATACAAAAGTGAAAGTAAAAATTCATTCGTTTTGTTTGTGTCCTTTTCTTTAGGGGATATGAGCTCAGTCATGAAAATAAAACTAGCTATAAGATGTCTGCCCGTGATTTGATGATGCAGTGTTTTGGCTATGGAAAGGTTTGTGTAAACATTTTGCAAGTATTTTGAGAAGGTTAACCCTGAACAACACTTGAACACACCAAGAATACCCTTTTTGGGTAATTTTTATTAATAATTTCATATTGATAAACAATTTTTTAAATCCTAAATTACTATTATAATGATTTATAAAATTGAAGGGATAGTTCAAACTAAATTTAAAAAATCACTTTCATCATTTACTCATGTCGTTCCAAAGCTGTATGTCTTTTTTCTTTTGTGGAAAACGAAAGAAGATATTTTGAAGAATGTTGGTTACCAAAAAGTTACGGTTGACATTGACATCTATTATATAGACAACAAGCACAATGGAAGTCAATAGGAACCAAAACTGTTTGGTTAACAACATTCTTCAAAATACCTTAATTTCTGTTACGCAGTAGAAAGAAAGTCAAACAGGTTCAGAATGACATGAGAGTGAATAATGACAGAATTTATTAATTTTCCTTTCGATTCCTTTTCTCATTAGCACAGTAAAGCTACTAAACACAATGTCCGTTAACTTTGACAGCTTAATCCCAGTGAGTGGTTAGAATATAGTTTGTTTTTTTTAATCATTACAGTTATGCTTTGGGAAGCCAGGGCTGAGTCTGGGATTGGCTGCTTCTGTGCCCTTGATATGTGACGGTGACTTATCTCAAGCTAATGATGAGCCCCTTAACTCATTTATGTGTGGATCTTTCATACGTATGACCAAGTAAGACATTGTAATGAATGACCTTTTTAAATATACTATTGTCACATCAGAGGAAAGATGTAATGGATATAATAGTATTTTTGTTTAACCATGCCTTAGTTACAGTTGGAAAGGATGTCGTGTCACTGTTAAAGAGCTACATGATGAGATTTTGCAACAATGTGAAGAAAAAGATGGTCTTCTGGATCTACTAATTTCTGAGCAGGAGTATTGCTGGTAAGACTATAAAAATTTCTGGAATAAAAAAAAGTTTGACAAATCAACAGTTAACTTCTTTAGGTGGTAGGATCATCATTTCTTTTTTTACTAAATGTTTATTCAAGTAAATGGTTTTCCCTTATACTTCATTTGAAGTGGGATAATTAGAAGACATTATAAAAATAGTATTACAATCCCAGACTGGGATTAAGCTATTTCTTAGTGAAATTGAATGGAAAATAATGTATATCTTATACAGCTGCACACTCTCCTCAAAACATTGGATTCATCCGCGCTATGCCATGCCGAGGCACAACCCACATAATGTTGATAATTCCGCTAAAAACTGCAAGATGATGGCGACAAAGTGGAAAAACTACTGACTGCAGCTTTAATTATAAATGCCCTGACTAGAATTATGCGCTATTAAACCAGTGACATTTATCAACAAATTTAATAAGGTCCATTTTGATTTCATGTTGACTTTTAACTCAAGTCCAAAAATGTGTAGAGGGAATACTTCACCCCAAAATGAAAATGTTTATCATCATATACTCATGTAATTCAAAACCTATGTTTATTTTCCTGCATTGTAATTTGTTATATCAATACACTGCTGTAGCCATGATTTCTATGATGTCCTCTGTAGTCATGTGTCTCACCCACACATGCTGTTGCTGATGGCTGTGAGTATGTCCGCTGGCCTGGACAGCACAAGGCTGGTCTATGAGAGAGTGAATGTGGGATCCCTGTACAGTCTGCTTCATCAAAAGGTAATAATTGAGCATTTCAGAAAGCACAAATATAAACATGACAGAATTGTTTGGTTTTAACTGCGTTCTTTGTTTGCAGCGGGATGAGTTTCCTCTACTACAGCTGGTTGACCTGTTATCTATGGTGCTACAGGTGTGTGAGGTGTTAATGTACCTGAACAGCCGATCTCTGGTGCTCCGGGCCCTTTCATCACACACTGTACTCATAGTACACCCTGGAGTTGCGAAGGTTACGGGCCTCGGGTTCATGGTGCCCAGGTACACCGTTGCAAAAAGCACAAATTAAAACATATAGACTATAAATTTAGAATAATTTTATTTGTTTATAGTTTATATTCATTATGGACATTCCATTAACACCAAGAATGATAACTATTATGATATTGGTAAAGATATATAGTTCTAAAATCCAGAATAACATCAGTTGCTGGTGTGGGTGCTAATGTAGTTATCATATAGTTATCATGCTTGGTGTGAATGGGCCTTTACAGTATGTAATTTGAATCTTTAGTCATTTGATATGTTTTCCAACTACAGTGAGGGAACATGCCTCTACAGCCCGCCTCCTGTTCCTGTGCCTCTCAGCCTGATAAACTGGGTAGCTCCGGAAGTGATTAGATGTAGAGCATGTACAGGAAAAGCTGATCTCTATAGTGTGTGCGCCCTTATACAGGAGATCTATACAGGTACAGGTCATGTAATGAAAACTGTCTGTCATCTTTAATGTAGAGCTTGTGTGATTGATCTCTTTTTGTGTTGCTAGTTTGTAACTTGGTTGTGTTGCTTTACAGATGCTGTGCCATGGGGCCCCATGGACCCACGTTGCATAAAACGGTCAGTAGAGGCCGGTCAGGCTCTGATAGCACACCCTGCTGTGTCTGAGCCTTATTACCAGCTCCTGCAGACTGGCCTCCAGTACAGAGCCCAGCACAGGACCAGCAGCCTGCACGATCTGTGCTACAATCTACGCTGTTATATCAGAGTTTGTACATGGGTTTAGTTATGTTTCTGTGTCTCATCAATCTGCATTAACATGCTCTCTTTTTTAGATGTACACTACCATTTAAAAGTTTGGAGTGGGTTAGATTCTTTTGTAATGTTCCTGAAATTCTCTTATCCTCATCAAGGCTGCATTTATTTGATAAAAATACAGTAAAAATAGTAATATTGTTAAATATAATTACAGTTTAAAATAACGGTTTTCTGTTTGAATACATTTTATTCCTGCAATTTATTCCTTTGATGGCAAAGCTGAATTTTCAGTAGCAATTACTCCAGTCTTCAGTGTCACATGATCCTTCCGAAATCATTCTAATATGCTGGTTTGCTGCTCAAGAGCATTTCTTATTATTATGAATGTTGAAAAAAACAGTTGTGTTGCTTAATTAGTTTGTGGAAACCATGAATAGAAAGTTTTCAAGAACAGCATTTAATTATTTTTAATCAAAAACAAATTGTTACGAATGCCAAGAGATGAGGATCCACTTGTACACTCATTTTTTAAACAACAAAACTCCACATAGACAAGAACATCTGACCCAAAACAAGAATACAATCTACCATGAAACAACAACTAGCAAAGCATGAGAAAAACAAAAGGGCTATGTACACACAGGGACAAACAGGCTTAACAAGGAAATGATGACTTGGACAAGAAATACAACAAAGGTCAAAACAAGAAGGGTAAATATGTGACAAATCTTCCTGAACCCAACATTTTGAATGGTAGTGTACGTCTTTTGTTGCCCTTTTTTAAAAATGTATTTATATTAGGATCTTTTCTTTCTTAGTTATTTTACAATTAACTTATTAAAAAGATGTTGTGCAAGGTTTTTCCAGGTATACAGAGATAATATATGATAGCATGAGAGTGAATAGTGCCATCTAATCTGCTGCAGGAGATAAGAAGCGAGAATAAGAGAAGTGGATGGAACTCTTGGTCGGCTCTTCAGTGCATTCCTGGATGGGAGACTGACATTAATCTGGCGAAAGAACAAGACGCAGCTGGTGAGATTTCCATCCAGTCATGATTATGGAAACTTTAGAGCCTAGAAAATGATCACTTTGGCAAGAAAGTGCCTGCTAAGAATATCAATGTAATGTAATTCTTTGATTTTCCTGTACTTTCCTTTTAGTATTTCAGAACTGCAGGACTGCAGTACACAATGATATCCAGGACCATCACCTAGAAGGAATCTACACAGAAGAAGAGAAGTCCACCTCAGACACTGACGACCTCCACTTGGATATTTCGCATCATGACAACATTCCATTGCATGAATGGCCTATTACCCATCATGCTCCACTCTTGGAACCATCTTGTTCTAACTATATTGATACAGACAAGGATCTGGCAATCAGTAGCTCCATCTCAAAGCATATTGGCTCCATTGTTCTCAACCTTAAAGTGTCTGAGGTTCTTCTACAGCAAGCTGAGCAGAGTCTGGATAATGTGGAGGCGACTCGATTGAGCACCCCATGCTTTGACGAGGTGGATGCTCATCAGAAAGAACGCAGTGATAGTGTTTGGAAGGCTTTTGGGCCACCGTCCAAAAGTTATACACCCGAGTGGACCATTAATGCAGATGACGAGGTCAGTCAGTACAGCTCAGCTCAAGATGAGAGCTTTGAGAGCACGTCCTATCCTAGTAGTGTACAGGTATGTGCACACAACCTCAAATGTCACAGCGTTAAAAGTGAAGTGTGTGTTTTTGCTAAAAAAAAAAAAAAAGATATATAAAAATATTATAAATATTAAAAAGTTTGGGGTCGGTTAAAAGTCTCTTAAGGTCACCAAGGCTGCATTTATTTGATAAAAAAAACAAAACAAAAAAACAAAAAAAACAAACAGTGTAACAGTAATATTGTATGAAATATTATTACTATTATTACTAAATGTAATTTAAGCCTCTGTTGGCAAAGCTGTATATTCAGCATCATTACTCCAGTCTTTAGTGTCACATGATCCTTCAGAAATCATTCTAATATGCTGATTTGCTGCTAAAGAAACATTTATTGTAATCAAACAATTGTGCTAGTTAAAATCTTTGTGGAAACCGTGAAATCGTTTTGATTAATACAAAGTTCAAAATAGCAGCATTTATTTGAAATAGAAATTCTAGGCATCAATGTAAAAGTCTTTACTTTCATGTTGTTTTTGAACGGTAGTGTACAACACACACACACACACACAATATACTTCACCTTCAGGATATAACCAGACTTGTATGATCAACTAGCTGGGAGTTACATGTTAATCTAAATTAGGGACAATTACCCCTAACAAAGAGTACTAACAAAAATTTATTGGAATAGCAATCAGTGTAGGTTGATGATTTAAATAACATAAAATATCAACAATAAAATCATATGAGGAAAAACTTTACTTACAGGAGGAGGAAAGTGACTTCAAGAGTGTCGAAGCAATAAAGAGAGGACCGCAGCAAACAGGGCGTCAAAGGTACAATTAGCAGAAAAAGACTAATACAAGTCATATACAAAAAAGGAGTATAATATATAAGATGGCAAGTTTGGCAACAACTGAAAAGATATATGAGCAAATAGGAGAGAGAATGACAAAAATAAGCAAGTACATCTCTTTCAGGTTAAATGTGCAACTTGGGTTGTCAAGGAACCAGAAAGACAGAGCATACCGATCTCTCGCAGAACATTACCAAACAAAACCCACATGGACCAGTGAGAGACAACAGCCACTCCATTTATTATATTCATGTGCAGTTTAAAAAGAAAAGTGTTGAAAATGTATGTGATCTGTCCTGTGTGCCGGTACAGGTGATGTTAGTGATGTGGTGGCGCTAATGGCACGTGGGTGTTTGGGGAAACCACGGGGTGCTGTGGGCAGCAGTGACAGTGAGGATGTAGAAGAGCAACAGCTTCACCTACAGGACTGGCAGACACACAACGTCAGACATAGTGTGAACAGCCACCCGGAATATGAGACCCAGGAAAGCACTGATTTGGAGCAACTGTTCAAGAGTTTTGCTGGTAATAGAGCTATGCCTGAAATTGCTGTTTAGATATTTCATATAGTCATGTTTTATTTTGGTTACATTTAGTATTAAATTCCATTTTTAAATAATTATAACTCATTTTCAAATTCTATTTATGGCCAGGTATTCAGAGTGATAGTGAGGAGAGCACAAACTACCACACAATCAATCAAACTTTTGATGTGACCAATGGAGTGCTGAAGGCTACAAGCCAAACTGAGGTGATAAACTAAACCTTTATTTGCATTTGTTTTTACCAGTTCATTAAAGTTTCCCCCCCCCCATTAAAACACAACGACCCACATTTACATTCGGTATTCATCATCTTGACGAGGTTACATATTTCACCTGCAAAAAGATTATCAAACCTTTTTTCTCTTCATGTAGAAGTGTTAAAGGTACAGTAACAAAAACAGCTTTTTGCGTAATAGTTAAACGCTGTTTCATAAGAGCTGGGGGAGTTTAATAAATGGTCATTTTGAAAGTAAATTATAACTGAAAAATGTATTAACAAATATACAATTTCTGAATATGTAAAATGTTGAATTTTAAATATACTTGTTTTTTGTGTCCAAACAAAGGATGAGGGAAGTTCGGATAGTTCAGCTTATACACAAACTCCTTTAGAGCTGTCTAATGTGTTCTACACACCTAAACACCACCTGTCCAAAAGCACATCATCTGGTGTAGAGCATTCTCAGGTGAGAGTGGACATTAGTGTGGTTTTGTCATTACGCTAACCCCTGGTTTCACAGACAAGGCTTATGCTAGTCCCAGACTAAAATGCATGTTTGAGCTCTTTTAACTCAAAGCAACTTGCACGGACATCTGCTATTTTTATAGTATTATACAATACATAAACTATATGCTATTATCAATATTTGTATTAGATTATGTACTTATGGTATTATGTTATATACAATTCATTACTATTTTATTTGCTGTATACTGTTTGTTTATTTTATGGACGATTTACTATTACTTCTCACTTCATCTTATATTCACTATTTGCATTGCACTGTAGTTGTACCATTACCATATCATATCTATTACCATAAAGGATCCATCAGTTATCTTTGTTATTGCTAAAATCGGGTCAATCACAGAAAATGCTTTTCCCACAATAAGAAAACTTTATTTAATTTAATGCAAAAATGTAATTATATCTTCACAATTCGTATCCAAGAATAAAAAGCCAGATAGCCTACATGAGAAGTCTGAGCTTTGACAATTCCTTATTAAAAATAATGTGTTATAAGTCCAACTATCGAGACCACTGAAATCAGTTGATAAATGTAATTTTTGTTTTGTTTTTATCAAGAAAAACTACAGCTCACCATTTACTTGCATTTGATTACAGTGCAGTCTTGCCCTCCGCAAAATGGCGGACACGTTGACGTATCGCAGCAACGTTCCAAAGCGGCCATTAGGGCGTCTATGTATTTATTATGGCATCTATGTATTTATTATGTCTATAGGAAACAAGGCACAGGTGACCTGCATAATGCTAACAAGGACACATGAGGAAGAACTAAGGCAGAGGGGAACACAGGTGACCTCTAGAGGCCCGGAAACAAACAACAGGAGGCAGGATGCTGACACTCAAGATGCACCCCAGAAGTGTTTTTTTCTAAGACACAATTATAAAAGCTATGCAGATGTCCTAATTGAACTAAGGCCTAGTCCTCCTGACTTAGTCTAAGCCCTGTCTGTCCAACTGGGCCTAAAAAATTGAAGAATAAAGTCAATATTTTTCGTAAACCCTTTATTTCTCAGTCACTGAGCTCAGAGGATGAGTTGGACGTCACAGTGGAGGTGTGTCGACCCAGCACATCTCCAGCAGAAGAAAAACAACCTGTAGAAAACAGTCTGAGTGGTATACAGATGAAACACTGCAGTCATTGTATTACCAGTTTTGTGGGTAAAGATTGTCCTTTTTTTCTAACCTGTTATCCCTTATTATTATCCAGAATACCAGCTTGCTCAAGAGGACTCAAAGGAGTCTGAATCCATTACCCCTGTGCACAGGTACATTCCTACTCTCAGGTAAAATAAATTAGGATGGAATTGGAATTGACAGCAGATTTGTTGTAATAACTATGATTTGTTTTTTTTAATTAAGTGTAAAGTGAGTTCAAATATTTTGGGTTATTTGGACACATTAAAATGAAATGACAGTATAGACATTTATATATATACTGTTATAAAAGATTTCTATTTTAGATAAATGCTGTTTTTTTTTAACTTTCTATTCGTCAAGGAATAGAAACAATTTTACTGTTTGTTGATGAAGTAAATGCAGTCTTGCTGAGCATTAGACTTTCAAAAACAATAAAAAATCTTGCCAACCCAAAACTTTTGAAAGGTAGTGTATTTTGTCTGTTGAGTCCTTTGCAAATAAAAAAATAACTAGTGACTTCCTACGGCTGAGTCTGTCCTCTGTGCTTTGCTTTGTTTTGTTTTGTTTGATCAGTTGTTTGCCAGACCTCGCTGAGATTGCGGACCTCTCCAGCATATCCTGTTCACCGGCTCAGCACCAAAAGTGGCTGGGGTCCGCTGAAGCTCCGCCAATCCCTCACAGCAGAGGACATCCACCCTGCAACAGCACCCCACGCAGCCCCAAAGGTATGATGTGAATCAAAAAAATATACCATGCATCTACTTAGGCTTCACTTTTAGGATTAATCAAAATTCAGAGTACATTCTGTGAGCTAGTTTTATGTAATTGTCAACACTGTTTAATTACAGGTCGTAGGACTCTTCAAGATGTGCAGATTAGCTCTGAGCCCCTCCCTCACCTCCAGAGCCTGTTGGATACATCACCATGGGGCGGTGCTCCATCCTACACTGTCTGCACAGAGAGTTACGCCACAGCCAGCGCAGGAGACAGCAGCAATGTCAGTCAATCAATCCTATTTTTAATAATACATTTCTGAAAAATATCAATGGTCATATGGCTATTGGACAATATGTGTTTTTATAATGTTATCTGTATCAATCAAGTCAATTAAACTGATCATGTATACTTAAAAGTGCTTTTTGTAAATTTTTCACTCTCTACTAAAGCATAAAAATACCATTTTTGCAGATATTTAGGAAACATGCAAAGTTCACATACTCGTTTCTCTGAAAAACAATGTTACAGCCAAGTTATTATTACCAATTTAGACTTAATGTGAGTGTTTTTCTACTCTAAATGTAGACTTACTGTATAATATCTAATTAATCCATATTTCAGTTATTGGCTTCAAAATATTATAAATTATCAGTTATCAGCCAAAACATCTACATCAGCTCATCTCTATTTTTTTTTAATATGTGCTTTTAAATCTCATGTTGACTACCGGGAGAATGTGATGGTACACTCTAGCCATCAAATATCTTCAATATTGACATCTTCAATGCATATTTTGGCAGCTTGAGTCCACTCAAAAAGTTTTATTGACTTAACTAAAAATATTTGTATTAAATATGCAAATGCTTATTTGTTATTGTTTTGTTGTAGAAGCTTTCATCTGACAAAAGTAAATGTTCCATTATCTTATATTTGCATCAATGTATACACAGCTGTTACATTTATAATGATAGCTTGCATTTCTTTTCAGACAAATGCCTCTGTGTCTAGCGTCCTGCAGTCTCCATTGAAAAGAGAAATGTCTAAGGAGGAAACATACTCTCCCTCTAGCGGCAATGCAGAGTTCACCACTGCCAGCTCTGGAGCAAGACAGACCACTGAGACTAGCCAGGAGACCAGTGAAGAGATGGGGCATCCTATTGACAGTGTGCATTTATAATTTACTGCTATAGTGTTCCAAAAGTTCATTATGGGATGTATTGTTAAAGTATTATGGTGTGAGAATCAAACTGTTTGTGATTCCTGTAGAGAATAATCATTTGGATGAGGAAGTAGGTGATTCTAAACATCAAGAGTCTTCTGATGAAAAGGTGTTTGAAGATGAAGACATCTCAAAGAGAAAGGAAGAGTGTAAGGGTGAAAACCATGGTGAGACGGATCTACATTGGGACACTTATTTTAATTTTTAAAAGGAATTAATAAGATGTACGTTTGTATTTTCAGACCATCTTCCAGATCTTAACTCTGCTGATATGGAAAGTAATGCAAACTCTCAAAAGAGCAATAAGAGTCACAGCCTTGATGACACTGAGAGGTAAAACTCAATACTTTGCCTTAATAAGGGGTATTTCATTATTGGTTGATAACTTCCTGACAGTGTTGACAAAAAATATAATGATAATCTGCATAATGATTCTAGGGCTGTTTGGATAGAGAAATGAATATATCACAACATTGCCCTCAAAAATCAGGCTCTATTTAAACTTAATGTGTCGTTATAACTTGGATAGTTACCCACTTAGGCATGCACTTGTAAATAACCCAGACAATGTGTGCATGAACAGATTTTTTTCTCCCTATTGTGATGTATATCCAAGTGAAACTGTTTCTCAAACAAGAAAAAAACATTACTGTTTTGATGAAAGATTATAAGTAAAAAAAAAAGACCAATATGTGCATGGATAAATTGCATTTAGAAAAATAAGAATTGTCAATTTTCATTTCTTTGTTTAAAACGAATCAGAATAGTACATTACAAAGTCTACAGCAGTAAGGGGTGGATATGTATTATTTCTTTATGTACAGAATTTTGGAGTTCATTCTAAAATCATGCCGACAGCTATGTTAATTGAACGTTTTATTCATGTTTTTGGATTAGGTTCTATTATGTTTTTTCCTCACCCAAAACAAACAAAAATAACTTTGACATCTTGCAGAGCAAGTTCCACCCTTGATGAAGATCTGGAAAGAATGCATTCAGAAAGAGTCCCTAGACAGAGAACCCCTGACATAAAAGCAGAGGGGGATGTGAAGGACTTGGACTGTCCAGAAAGAGACTACATAGAGACAGCGGGTGAGTAGAAAGTCTTTTTCGGCCTTCTTTAAAGCTTCAGTAAATATAAGCTCAAACGCCTACTGTAGTGTTTAATGGTTGTAGGCCTGTTGATTCTCTCTGTAGAAGGCATAAATAAACTGGGAGTGAGGATTGAGGCAGCCAATCAGGAGAACCATTCTAACAGGTGCACAAGAAGCCTAAAATGAAATGCATTTGACCCCAGGAATACAGTGTTAGTCTAACTTACTTGCTGCTTATAATAGAAATATTGAAATTACCATCGACTTTGAAACACTTCAGCCTTAGAAATGAATGTTTTTCAAGTAACTTACAAAGTAAAACTAGCTAACTTCCCTGCCCCAAAATTCATTTTTGTAATTTCATTGTTTGTGTCATCATCAGAGCTCTTGAGCATACACCTTCTGAGTCAGTCAAACCACACTGTTAAAGAGGAGCCGATCTCTTGGATTTCCTCAAGGTCTCTTGCATCTCAATCGTTTCCATTTTAGATGCGTAAGGGATGTGGTTTGTGTTCCTTTATGTTGAATTTACTGTTAAAAGAAAAAGATCTTTCCAAATAAAAGCCTGTTGCTTTTAAACTTGTTCTTAACATATGCACATCTTCGAGTTCTAGCGTTGATGTTACAATTTATTAGCAGATGATGTTGTTCAAGGTAATATATATTTTGACATTCTGTTCGATGTTTCTACAAAAAATGTATTGCTATTTGTCATGTTGTTTAGTAAAGCTTCTAAATAAAAGAACATAAATATATATACACATCTATAAATAAAAGACATTTTATTGAATAAAAAAACAAAAAGGAATTCACTGAATCTTACATTCAAATACAGTCTCCTTTGCATTACTGAGATCTTGACGATCCAAAGTTACATAAACACCAGTTTAACTTACAAAAAATATAAACTCTTGTGCTGTACAGTTTCTTTCTTGTACAAATCGTTTCCAGGTCATGATATAATTGAATACATCAGCATAACAATGCTGAAGAAATTAAGTTTATTCCTTAAAAAGACTGATAAAAGTTAGTTTATTTTTATACTTCATGGACAACTGTTTCTGAAATGTTGTCTAGTTCGCCATCATTCAAGTGGTTTCACTATGGAATGGAATAGCCTACAAGTGGAAGTAACTCGAGGCTTTATGCATTTTGATGGGGTTGCATGTATTTTGTCCCGGTTTCTCAGTCTTTTGCCAGCAATGACACAAGTCCTTTCTTATCCAGCTCAATGAGTTTAAGGTGTTGTAAGGTCTTCATTGCAGAATCACTGACTTTCATGTTTAACTTCTTCATTCTCTGAGTGCTTATCGGCCCCCTAAAGTGACAAGAATGAAAAGACTTGGATCAAAAGAAATCCTGTGGTTGCCTTAAACTTCACGACATTGTGAATCATGTTAGGGCTCAGGGTTAAATATGACCAGACAAACCTGTTTCTATCTGAGATAAAGTACTCGGATAACTGCTTGTTGAGCATGTTGAGGTCATTCAGCTTCAAGTTACCACGTACACTCCGCGGGACGGTCTCAAATGTCCCCTCAGACACCTCTTCAAGCATGTTCCGTGCTGCAAGACAGACGAAATAACTATAAATTACAATTATTGAGACTGATAAAGATGCTGTTCACCTTTGAAGTTGTGAAAATGTTACAGCTGCTTTATGTTGATGGTTTTCTTCTGTCCTTACATTCAGACTGTGCTTGAGATTGAGGTTCTGATATCGGCATGGCCTAAAGAAACAGTAATGCATTAATAAATAGCTAAAAAAAAAAGAAGCGTTCGCCTCTCAGACCACAAATATTAACATTTTAAGGTACAGAGACATACAATACTGTTTAAAAGTTAGAAATGTATACTGTTAATCAGCAAGGACACATTAAATTTATTAAAGGTGACAAAGATTTGTGTTACAAAACTTTTGCATTTCAATAAATGCTGTTCTATATTAAAATTGAAAACAAGTCATTTTACAGCATTACTGGTTTTACTGCATTTTTTTATATTTTCGAATAAATGCAGCTATAAGAGACTTCTTTCAAAAACATTCTTTAGGACTGTCAAACGATTAATCGCATCCAAAATAAAAGTCTATGTTTACATAATATATGTGGGTGCACTGTGCACAATTATTTTTTATATATATATACATATATATATATATATATATATACACACACACACACACACACACGCTTGTATATATTTAAAGAAATATTTTCAAGTATATAGATTTATATATAATTTATATTATATATAAATATTTTATATATAAATAATATTTTTTTCTTAAATATAAATGCATGTGTATGTATTTATATATATATATATATATATATATATATATATATATATAAAATAATTATACACAGTGCACCCACATTTATTATGTAAACACAAACTTTTATTTTGGATGCGATTAATCGTTTGACAGCCCTAATTTTTTTTTTTTAAATCTTACCGACCCAAAACTTTTGAACAGTAGTGTAGTTATGATAAAAAGCATTTAATAAAACTGTCTAACCTCTACATTTAAAGCAGCAATGGATGAGCAGAGAGCATCTCTCGCTTCTTGTTCTTCTTCTGTCAGTGGAGGAACCTTGAACACCAGAAATCCCATTAGCACACACACAAAGTCTGAACCACAAACATCTTGGAACTACTTTATTTTTCAAAGAACACTCCCTTTACCATAGTAAAATCATTGTGTATGGCCTCTAGTGTCTAGTGTAGTAACATTAACAAGGACCCGGCTTTGGTTAGACTTGTGCTCTTGTTGCACTAATGAATGAATACCTGCACATCTGCTGTGTTCTGCAGCTGTTGAACCAGCTGTACTGTCGTGTCCAAATGAGCTCGTATGGAGTCCATGGATCGCTTCTGTTCTGCTGCGATCTCCTCCACTTGAGTGCACAGGGCCGAATGGCGCGCTTTGATCGCCGACAGGTTCTCCAGCAACTGAACAGGGTTTCCCTGAAATCAACAACCACAGATTTAGGCAAACAGAATCGGTCATTACTTAAAGTGAATAAATGTATACAAACTTACCTCAAACGAGCCCGCTTCACGCACATTTGCCATGAAGTCAAATTTCAGCCGCTTTTCCACATATTCTATATCAGCTTCTGCCTTCTGGAACTACAAGGACATGGATCTAAACACCATCATTCAGTAAGCATTCAGAAAAGTCAGGAGTTGATTGCCGTTCATAGGCTTTAGCATTTATTGGCCCATTTGAACGAGGGTACGATCTAAAACCTGAAACCCTATTAGCAATATTGCACTACTCTGAACACAGTGGACAGCAGAGTCAATACTGATAGGGTCCCAAGAATTAGGATTAGACATTACGACCTGTGAAACAGAGAAAACAAACAACTATATGCCAACTGAGATGGTGCACCTCTTTGAAAAGTTGTAAACATTGTGCAAAGCTGTTCTCAGATGCTTTGACAATACTATTGCACTGCTAGCTGTCCAATACAGTAGTGCAATGAAGTCAGAGCACCTGTTAACAGCAATCGATGTGACTGGCCACGCCGTTGACCCTACTTTTGAGAAAGATCCCTGGCCAATGCCCTTTTAACATTGCACTGCTTTAATAACTGGGTTATCAGTAGTACAATATAAAAGGGGCACTGGACAGACAGTACGCATTCAGGGTGGTCCTTCTGCATGCTGAAATATCCAAGATTCATGTAAATAATGCCAATTAAAAGCCTGGGAAGAACACAATTTTAACATAAACATTAAAAAACAAACATTATAGTGCTGAGATCCAGATATGTAGATGTTTCATGATATGGGCAATCATTTTAAAAGTTAGTGTTAAAGCTACTTTGCATCTATTTCTTATTTATTTTATTAGGCAAAATCCATGCATTGACACACACACACACACACACACACACAAACACACACACATACAATCTCTGGCAAGCTAATACTGCGCCCCCTATCGTTTCCTCGTACTAATGATATTTAAACATCCGAATATAAAATTAAAACAGGTTTAACGTTTTACTCAAATAATTGAAGAACAAAAATGAGTTATGCGATTTCGCAGGCATGCAAATGGTCTGAATCTTCACAAAGTACACTTTTACAAAGATTTGTGCGTCGTCCAGAAGCAATGGACACATTTTATATTAATTTTATCAGCTAGTAACAACTGCGACATTAACTTGATGTATATAAGCCCGAACAGTTTATACGTGTATAAACACCTTATTGAATAATGTATAGGAGTAAGTTCGGGCTGCAGCGCACAGTTTGGCGGACAGACGCACAGGCCCTCCCGCACCCGCACTCCCCTCACTACCGACCAGATATCGAACCAATTTCAACCAAATAAACGTTTTCAGGCTGAATGCCAAGGTTTCGTTTCAAAATATACGCATTACAGTAATTTAATGTCATGAAGACTGATATTGCTGTAAATATTTTCAAATCATGTAATTAGCTGTGGCACTAGTTAGCCATCCAGCTACATGTTTTTCGTAATTTTCTCCCCTCCAACCTGAGGGAAAGATAGAGGGATATAGAGAACATGTAATTTTCATGTTTTATTCTGCATTACGTCGTCTAATGCAAAGGCACCGGTATTATTAACAAATAGACGGATCCGTCACTTTACAAGTGAAAACATTTGATGGAAACGTTTGCCTGAAAAAACAGCTTACCATCGCCTCCAGCTTATCAACTGTCTCCATGTTGAATAGTTTACATTCCTAAAGCAGCCCCGGAAATATAAAGCTCGCAGCAGAACGCAAGACCTTCTCTGATTGGTTAGCTGTCAGAGAGCGTGGAAGGTGATTGGTCAGTTTGGAAGGAGAAAGAGCGGAAAGGGGGTGGTATATTCTTCGGGATGGAATTCTAACGTATGTCTTGGACGTACTACCAGTAAAATATTATGTATACAACGCATACTATTTATAATTGAAATGTATGTGAAATGTAGGCTATATTGAAATGTGAAATATGAATCCTAAATTCAGTGATTACATATGGGGTATATATATGGGGTACAAAACTTCATGTTTTGTGTTTGAGTATGCTGACTATTAAATAATATTACATTGTCTGGGCAATGTTAGAAATTTTTCTAAAACCTTTTTTCACTCAGATTAAATAATGAATCACATTTACTTCTTTTCTTTTTATACACCACAATGAAATGTCAAGTATGGAATACAGTATTATTTTCTGTAAGCTTTTGTATAACACAATTTTGTTGAATAAAGTAGGTCTTCCAATTATTCTGTGCATGCAAAAAAATAAATAAATAAAAATAATATATATATATATATATATATATATATATATATATATAATAGTTCACAAACATTTTTTTGTTGAATATACTTACAATTTTTTTTAATTATAATAATATAAAATATAATAAAATAAATTATAATAATCATGCTCTTAGACAAATTCAGTTTTAAAACTTAATTAAAGTCAGGAGCAGCTCCTACTGTTTTTAAAAAAAGGTTTATTAAAAGAGTTTTTTTTTTTTTTTTTTTAAACCCTGTATAAACTTTATACTTCTGTCCTTAAATAGTAATAAAAAAAACTAAGAGGCCTGAAAAAAATTCTATGCCGTTTCATCCAAACGGACCAATCGATCGCTAGAATGCGGTGGTAAACCCCGCCCCATTAACATGACTGACAAAATTTCTTTTCAATCATAGCTCTGCATACACACCGCCACACCAATCAGAGAAGGCCAGTATATTATAGCGTCAACAAAGTTTGGCTGCACCGTAGGCTTGTTCTCACCCGGTTGTCTTGTTAGAGGACGTTGGAGTCACAGTCAGGAGGAGCTCTGTATCAAATATTAATTTTAAAACAGCAAGCACTTACAGAATATCAAGACAACATGTTTTCCCGCATCGCTAGACCAACAGCCACCCTCGCCCGGAGCTTGTCCACCTCCTCCCAGGTAAAACGGTCATATTTGTTACCATGCGAGTGCGCTAACATTAGCCTAACGTTAACATGATGTACATGAGTGTATAATGACGCTAACATGTCAAACTGAGGTTATAACAAAATATTTGCCTACTTTTTTTCTTTGTTGATTCGTGGTCCTTTATAATCCATAGACTAACGTTACAATAATTTAGGCCTAGTTGAAACTAAGTTAAGAACCTGCATCCAGATAACCTAGAAGTTACCTTGCTTGCCATTTAGCCAGTAACGTAGCTACTGTTACAGTGTGATTTCTTAGTCATACAGCATTTAGGTTTATAGGGGTTACAATAATCATGAATCCAATTGAAATCCTGCTGTCCGACATGAGTAGGTTTTTAGTCGACCTTGCCAACTTGTGGAATCATGATTTCAGGTTAGAGATGGCATCTGACTCGACCCCATTTGAAAGGTCATTACTGTAATAATAATCAGCTACTTGTCTCTCTGTTGTGTAGCAAGTACTACAAAGTATCTCGATCTGTAATGAGAGATCAGGCTTAAAGCAGCTTTTGTGTTGGCTTAAAATGGCAAAAGGCGCTACTGTGATGATTCACCATCTGATATGTTTCATGAAACAGAACTTTGGGCTTTATAAGGCTTGTACTTATATTCCCCATACATCATCACACCCACATTGCATTCCTTTTTATTGTTAACACAATGCAATACATGCGTTAAGTTGCCATTAGAATAAGATTTAAGATCTAAAAGATTTAAGAGAATTAAGATCATAAACACTTTACAGAGTCTTTAATCACTTGGTTTTAAACCCTCCCATTTTGCTGCATGAATGGTAGTAAAAATTCCCACTGGCTTATTTCCAGACTGAAAGTACCAAGGTCCTGTTAAAAAATGTGTTTGTGTAACCTCCAAAAGGATGTTTAACATTTTGCAATTTGCATTTAAAGGTTGTTCTATTTTTTTATTTAAAGGGATAGTTCACCCCAAAATTTAAATGAATTACTCACCCCATGTCGTTCCAAACCCATGAGAACCCAAATGAAGATCTTTTTGATGAAATCTGAGAGCTATGCAACTAGGCTACCACTGTGATGCTTCAAAAGCTTCATAAAGAGATCTTAAAATAACATTGTAAATAGTTGAGCGGTTTACTACAAATTTTCAGAAGAGACTTTATCGCTTTATATGATTAACAGATATAATTTAGGCGCTTTTATTCACATTTAAGCATTGATCAGCTCAATCGAACCTGCTTGATGGGTGAGATCAAACCTCTTTTGTTCTTGAGGAACCTCAAATGTCCAGTGTAACACACAGGAATGAACCTCATTGGTTCTTGCACGTCAAGCGATTGTGCATGAGCTTCTGTTTACCACAACTGATGTGTAAGTTGATGAATATGTGAACAAAAGCCTAAATTAAATCTGTTAGTCATATAAAGTGATTGAGTCTCTTCAGAATTTGGGACTGAACCACTCAATTCATATGGGTTGTTTTTACGATCTCTGAATGAACCTTTTGAAGCGTCAAAGTGGTGGTAGTTGCATAGTTGTCAATGGAGGGACGAAAAGCTCTCAGATTTCATCAAGATGATCTTCATTTGTGTTCCGAAGATGAAAGTCTTACATATTTGGACCCACATGAGAGGGTGAGTAATTAATGACAGAATGTTTGGATGAGCTAACCCTTTAAACAGTTTTTGATGGCTAGGTTATGATTAATGATACCTTCTATATATTGCACACAACAATTCAATGCAGCAAATTTAATGGCCTATTGAGTCAAAGTACACTTTACTGATATAAGTAGGGTGGATCAGCAGCACATTGCAATTGTATGAAATGCTACAATTTTTCCCTCTTTGCAGAACAATGCGAAAGTAGCTGTCTTGGGTGCCTCAGGGGGCATCGGGCAGCCCCTGTCCCTCCTACTGAAGAACAGTCCTCTAGTGAGAGAGCTGTCACTTTACGATATCGCCCACACTCCTGGAGTGGCTTCTGACCTCAGTCACATTGAGACCAGAGCCCATGTCACAGGTACAAAAATGGTTTCGGCACAAGCCTCCTTGGTTCTGATGGTTAAAATGAGATATTTTTTTTAATGTTTGCAGATAAATCATATTATTTTGAAGTTTGCATGAAATGAAAATTTGCCGTGTTTTCTAAATAAATGCATCTTAATCTTGTGAACGATCCATCCAGGTAACTTTTTAATCTATGAATTTGAATTAAAATGTCAACTTTTAAACAGTTTTATGTGGTAACATATGCTAGACTTCTCCAATGCTTAAATCCTATTTACCTTAAATTGTTCTGCTATAGTGTTCACTGTCTTGCCTTGCAGGGTACATGGGAGCAGATCAACTGGGTGCTGCACTGAAAGGCTGTGAGGTTGTTGTCATCCCTGCTGGTGTCCCAAGGAAGCCTGGTATATATATTTTTTTATATATACCATTTATAAACCTTTCTAGTCGGCATCGAATGGCATTTGCAATGTTTTATGTGTGTGAATGTAAAATAAAATGTTGATTGGCTTAAACATAAGGGCTTGCGGATAGAGTTGGGCTCAGTTATGAATTATAAAATCTTATGGATTTCTATACAATTCTGAATTTTTTTTGGCCTTTTTTCTAGGTATGACCCGTGACGACCTGTTCAACACCAATGCCACTATTGTGGCCACATTAGCTGATGCCTGCGCCCGTCACTGCCCTGAGGCCATGATCTGCATCATTTCAAACCCTGTAAGTATAATAAAGTTTGGGAGAGATCAGTGCATTGCTGTTATATCACATTATAACTGTTCAAAGGTCAAAAGGGCGTATAGCACTACATATCTATACACATACAGTACGTGCATGTATGCTTAGGACTGTCCCTTTAAGATAGTTGATAATTGTTCACATAGGAAAACAAGTTCTGTAATATTAAACTTCTTCATTTTAAATTTCAGGTGAACTCCACTATTCCCATCACATCAGAGGTGATGAAGAAACATGGCGTCTACAACCCCAACAGAGTCTTTGGTGTGACAACATTGGATATTGTCAGAGCAAATACTTTTGTTGCCGAGCTCAAAGTAAGTTCTATAAACTCAATAGATACAGATTTATTTATTTAATGTCATCACGAGAACATACGTTTGCACAGTCATTTCATTGTCACTGCAATATTTCCAGGGCCTTGATCCCGCCCGAGTCAATGTGCCAGTGGTCGGAGGTCATGCAGGCAAAACCATCATTCCTCTCATTTCACAGGTGAGGAACTAATAACTTATTCAATAAGCATTTCAACAGTATTGCATTACAATGACTACCAATTCAAGCTTTATCTTTCTGTCAATCCAAGTTGTTGGGGTTGCTCAGCCGTTTTTTCTGAAAGGCAGGTTTTTTAGATCATTTAGTGAAATAATAAAGCTGATGTGTATTCTTATTCTTTTCGTGTTTTCAGTGCACACCCAAGGTTGAGTTCCCTGCAGATCAGCTGTCTGCTTTGACAGGCAGGATCCAGGAAGCAGGAACTGAGGTTGTGAAAGCTAAAGCTGGTGCAGGTGAGAACTGAGGGTTTTTTTTTTTTAATTGTCCAGAAATGTAATTTAGATTAAAAAAAACACATTAAAAATACCATTTAGAAGCACTGAAATATGAATGTGTATCTCTTCATAGGCTCTGCCACTCTGTCCATGGCCTATGCTGGAGCCAGGTTCACATTCTCCCTTCTTGACGCCATGAATGGAAAGGAGGGTGTTGTTGAATGTGCATTTGTGAGATCTGAGGAAACCGAGTGCAAATACTTCTCCACACCTCTCCTGCTTGGGGTAAATCTAGCTAGACC